ACCAGTACCATGCTGTTTTGATTACTGTAGCCTTGTAGTATAGTTTGAAGTCTGGTAGTGTGATGCCTCCCGCTTTGTTCTTTTTGCTTAGAATTGACTTGGCTATGCAGGCTCTGTTGTGGTTGCATATGAAGTTTAAGGTGGTTTTTTCCAGTTCTGCAAAGAAGGTCATTGGTAGCTTGATGGGGATAGCATTGAATCTGTAAATTACTTTGGGCAGTATGGCCATTTTCACGATATTGATTCTTCCTAACCATGAACATGGAATGTTTCTCCATCTGTTTGTGTCCTCTCTTATTTCATTGAGCAGTGGCTTGTAGTTCTCCTTGAAGAGGTCCTTTACCTTCCTTGTTAGCTGTATTCCTAGGTATTTTATTCTCTTTGTGGCAATTGTGAATGGAAGTTTGTTCTTGATTTGGCTCTCTTTAAGTCTGTCATTGGTGTATAGGAATGCATGTGATTTTTGCACATTGATTTTGTATCCTGAGACTTTGCTGAACTTGCTTATCAGTTTCAGGAGGTTTGGGGCTGAGATGATGGGGTCTTCTAGATATACAATCATGTCGTCTGCAAATAGAGACAATTTGACTTCCTCCTTTCCTATTTGAATGCTCTTTATTTCTTTTTCTTGCCTGATTGCTCTGGCTAGAACTTCTAATACTATATTGAATAGCAGTGGTGAGAGCGGGCATCCTTGCCTGGTGCCACATTTCAAGGGGAATGCTTCCAGTTTTTGCCCATTCAGTATGATATTGGCTGTTGGTTTGTCATAAATAGCTTTTATTATTTTGAGATACGTTCCATCGATACCTAGATTATTGAGTGTTTTTAGCATAAAGGGCTGTTGAATTTTGTCAAAGGCCTTCTCTGCATCAGTTGAGATAATCATGTGGTTTTCGTCTTTGGTTCTGTTTATGTGGTGAATTACGTTTATAGGCTTGCTTATGTTGAACCAGCCTTGCATCCCCGGGATGAAGCCTACTTGATCATGGTGGATAAGCTTTTTGATGTGCTGTTGCAATCGGCTTGTCAGTATTTTATTGAAGATTTTTGCATCTATGTTCATCATGGATATTGGCCTGAAGTTTTCTTTTCTTGTTGAGTCTCTGCCGGGTTTTGGAATCAGGATGATGTTAGTGTCATAAAATGATTTGGGAAGAATTCCCTCTTTTTGTATTGTTTGGAATAGTTTCAGAAGAAATGGTACCAGCTCCTCTTTGTATGTCTGGTAGAATTCAGCTGTGAACCCATCTGGACCTGGGCTTTTTTTGGGTGGTAAGCTCTTAATTGCTGCCTCAACTTCAGACCTTGTTATGGGTCTGTTCAGGGTTTCGGCTTCTTCCTGGTTTAGGCTTGGCAGGAGGCAAGTGTCCAGGAATTTATCCATTTCTTCCAGGTTTATTAGTTTGTGTGTGTAGAGTTGTTTGTAATAATCTCTGATGATGGTTTGAATTTCTGTGGAATCTGTGGTGATATCCCCTTGATCGTTTTTTATTGCATCGATTTGGTTATTCTCTCTTTTCTTTTTTATTAATCTGGATAGTGGTCTGTCTATTTTGTTGATCTTTTCAAAAAACCAGCTCCTGGATTTATTGATTTTTTGAAGGGTTTTTTGTGTCTCTATCTCCTTCAGTTCTGCTCTGATCTTAGCTATTACTTGTCTTCTGCTAGACTTTGAGTTTTTTTTTATCTTGCTCCTCTAGCTCTTTCAGTTTTGACGATAGGGTGTCAATTTTTGATCTCTCCTTGCTTCTCATGTGGGCACTTATTGCTATATATTTTCCTCTAGAGACTGCTTTAAATGTGTCCCAGAGATTCTGGTATGTTGTGTCTTCATTCTCGTTGGTTTCGAAGAACATCTTTATTTCTGCCTTCATTTCATTGTTTATCCAGTCAACATTCAAGAGCAAGTTGTTCAGTTTCCATGAAGCTGTGCGGTTCTGAGTTAGTTTTTGAATTCTGAGTTCTAACTTGATTGCACTGTGGTCTGAGAGACTGTTTGTTACGATTTCCGTTCTTTTGCATTTGCTGAGGAGTGATTTACTCCCAATTATGTGGTCAATTTTAGAGTAGGTGTGATGTGGTGCTGAGAAGAATGTATATTCTGTGGATTTGGGGTGGACAGTTCTGTAAATGTCTATTAGGTTTGCTTGGTCCAGGTCTGAGTTCAAGTCCTGGATATCCTTGTTAATTTTCTGTCTGGTTGATCTGTCTAATGTTGACAATGGGGTGTTAAAGTCTCCCACTATTATTGTGTGGGAGTCTAAGTCTCTTTGTAAGTCATTAAGAACTTGCCTTATGTATCTGGGTGCTCCTGTATTGGGTGCATACATATTTAGGATCGTTAGCTCTTCTTGTTGCATTGATCCTTTTACCATTATGTAATGTCCCTCTTTGTCTCTTATGATCTTTGTTGCTTTAAAGTCTAATTTATCAGAGATGAGAATTGCAACTCCTGCTTTTTTTTGCTCTCCATTTGCTTGGTAAATCTTCCTCCATCCCTTTATTTTGAGTCTTTGTGTATCCTTGCATGTGAGATGGGTTTCCTGGATACAGCACACCGATGGGTTTTGTCTTTGTATCCAATTTGCCAGTCTGTGTCTTTTGATTGGGGCATTTAGTCCATTTACAATTAGGGTTAATATTGTTATGTGCGAATTTGATACTGCCATTTTGGTGCTAGCTGGCTGTTTTGCCCTTTAGTTGAGCTGGTACTTGTTGTTCCTTTATATGTGTAGAGGCTCTTTAAGGAGCTCTTGTAGAGCTGGCCTGGTGGTGACAAAGTTTCTGAGTACTTGCATGTTCCCAAAGGATTTTATTTTTCCTTCACTTATGAAGCTTAGTTTGGCTGGATAGGAGATTCTGGGTTGAAAGTTCTTTTCTTTAAGGATGTTGAATATTGGCCCCCACTCTCTTCTGGCTTGTAGGGTTTCTGCTGAGAGATCTGCTGTGAGTCTGATGGGCTTCCCTTTATGGGTAACCTGACCTTTCTCTCTGGCTGCCCTTAGTATTTTCTCCTTCATTTCGACCCTGGTGAATCTGACGATTATGTGCCTTGGGGTTGCCCTTCTTGACGAATATCTTTGTGGTGTTCTCTGTATTTCCTGGACTTGAATGTTTGCCTGCCTTGCTAGGTTGGGGAAGTTTTCCTGGATAATATCCTGAAGAGTATTTTCCAGCTTGGATTCATTCTCTTCGTCGCATTCGGGTACGCCTATCAAACGTAGATTAGGTCTTTTCCCATAGTCCCACATTTCTTGGAGATTTTGTTCATTCCTTTCTACCCTTTTTTCTCCAGTCTTGCCTTCCCATTTTATTTCATTGAGTTGATCTTCGACCTCTGATATCCTTTCTTCTGCTTGGTCCATTCGGCTGTTGATACTTGTGCATGCTTCACGAAGTTCTCGTGTTGCGTTTTTCAGCTCCATCAATTCACTTATATTCCTTTCTATTTTGTCCATTCTTGTTAGCATTTCGTCAAATCTTTTTTCAAGGCTCTTAGTTTCTTGGCATTTGGTTAGAACATGTTCTTTAAGTTCACAGAAGTTTCTTACTACCCACCTTCTGAAGTCTGATTCTGTCATTTCATCACACTCGTTCTCCCTCCAACTTTGTTCCCTTGCTGGTGAGGAGTTGTGATCCCTTTTAGGAGGAGAGGTGTTCTGGTTTCGGGTGTTTTCATTCTTTTTGCACTGGTTTCTTCCCATTTTAAGGATTTATCCACCTGTCGACTTTGTGGTTGTTGGCTTTCAGATTGGGTCTCAAATCTTTCAGATTGACGTTCTGTTTGTTGATGATGAGGTTATTTCTGTTTCTTGGTTTTCCTTCTGACAGTCTGGCCCCTCTGCTGTAGGTCTGCTGAGGTTCACTCCAGGCCCTGCTTGCCTGGGGTTCACCTGCAGCAGCTGCTGAACAGCAAGGGTTGTTACCAGTTTTCTTCTTCTGCTATCTTTGTCCCAGATGGATACCTGCCTAGTGTCAATCTGATCTCTCTTTTATGAGGTGTCTCTTTGGATATATAGGGGTCAGGGAGCTGCTTGAGGAGACGGTCTCTTCTTTATAGGAGCTCAAATGGTGAGCTGCAAGCTCTGTTGTTGTTCATTCAGAGCTGCTGGGCAAGTACTTTTAGGTCTGCTGCAGCAGTACTCATAAACTGCTTTTTGTTCCCTGGTGCTCTGTCCCAGGGATTTGGGGCTTTATTTACGAGTTTCCGTTATGCTGCCGCCTTCTTTTTTTTTTTTTTTTTCCCTCCAGCCCAGCAAGGAGGCAGCCTAGTCACTGTAGGCCTATAGCAGCTTTGCTGAGCTGCTGTGGGCTCCGCCCAGCTGCCCAGTGAACTTCCCTGCAGTCCTGTTTATATGGGTGTAGTTAGAACTGCTTTGGTGATGGTGGCTCGCCTCTGTTGGGGCGGAGTCTGCTGTGGCGGGTTGCCTTGGCAACGGCGGGCTGCCTCAGCAATGGCGGGTTGCCTTGGCAACGGCGGGCTGCCTCGGTAATGGCGGATGCGCCTCCCCCACAGAGCTGGACCGTCCCGGGTTCAGCTGTGCTTGCTGTGAAACTCTCAATCCAGAGTTTCTGGTTGCTGTTCTTTAGTGGGGGTGGGGCCAGCCGAGCCTGATCGCCCGTTTCCCTGCCTCAGAGCCTTTTTTAAGTTGGTGTTCCAGTCGCCTGTTGAAGAGGCGCCGGGGTCTGTTTGTTTTCCCCTGCGGCCACTCACTGCGCTGGATTAAACAGCGGCACTGAGGTTTGTGGCGCTTCTTTTTTTTTTTTTTTTTTTCCCCCTGGAATCTACTGTCCTGGTTCTCTGCTCAGTCCCCTTTTTGAACCTGCGAATGGGCGACTTCCCGTGGCACCAATCGCCAGCCAAAAGGGCCCCCGGACCCGTGTATTTTGTACAGAGAACCACGGCTCCGGGGCGCCGACAAAGCAGCTGCGTGGGGCAAAGCAGCCGCGCGGGGCAAAGCTGGCCGGCACAGCCGCGCTGACGACCGTGGAGCACCTCTGCCCGGGAATTTCCTAGTCTGTGGGCAATAAAAACGCGGCGTCCACTCACCCTCTGCGCTTTCACGGGGAGCTGCAATCCTGAGCTGTTCCTAAACGGCCATCTTGGATCGTCCCCCCAGGATGACAATTCTTAAGAATCCAATGATTTCCAGACCAATGTAGTATTGGTGTTCCTCTAATTTCTTCCTTTAATGTATTTTCTGACCTTATAGCAATAAGATAAATGAATTATCATACTGAGTGAGTCATGTATAGCACATGCAAAAAGAAGCAGTAATGCAAATGTTAGACAGAAATATGAATATCCAATATACCTGTGAAGGCATATTTCACAGGTATATTTTCAAGGTAATGTTTCAAAGGTAACATTTCAAAGGTAATGTTTGCAAGGTAATAGCCAATGTAATGTTCTATTCTCTGAAAAGAATGGTAGCATTGTTATATTTCACTGCAGCCAAGGTTTTTTTAAGAAAAAAAAAAGACTGCCTCTGGTAGTGTTTAAAATTTTATAACATTAGTTTTTTACCATAAAAAATTAATTTGTATAAATGGTTCCAGTGGAAACCAATAAAGCTGTGAATATAATCCAGAAAGAGAAAGAACAGTAAACAACCTTCTATTGTTCTGAGTAGAAAAACTCCCTGGTTCTTATTTTGCAAATGACTCACATTGCTATTAAATGTTTCCTTTTCATTGGGTCAATTATCAACATATTTTGAGAATAAGTTGTTTTCAGAAAGACATATAAACTGACAGAAAATCATAAAGGCTTAATAAATTAGATGAAATTTGCTTTTTCAGTTAGATCACTAAAACAAAAGTTCGACAATCTATGTATAACTTTCTATATGTATAATTTTGATTCTCACATTCCTCAGGACTCCTAACATATATTTACATACATATATATGTAAGAAATATAGATTTATGTAAGTATATGGATAAATATGTATATATTTTGATAGGGACTGCCAAGTTGCCCTCCTAGATGGTGAACCAATCGACACCTTTACAAATTAATCAAGAATAGTGTCCAATTTTTTTGCTATGAATTGTCAAACACAGAATTTAGCAATTGTTTTATAGGGGTAAAGTGGTATCTGACTTCCCTTGTTATTAGTGAGATAAAACCTATTTTCCTATTTTTCAAACTATTTGTATTTTTTTTCTATAAACACTCCACATTCCTTGCCCATTTTCATGGTTGTTTTGTTGATTTGTTAGATCTTTCATTCTTCATTTTCATAAATTCTTTAGGTTTGGGGGAAATTACCACTTTATAAGTGGCAATTTTTATTTCTTATTTTTCTTTGAGTTTGATTACACTGTTTTTTCCCTTGAAGAAATTTATCATTTTTGTGTGGCCCAGTTTATTAACCATTTTTTGTGGTATATAGACTTTTGTGTCAAAGTTAGAAAATTACTGAAGAAACTGTAAAGAATTCTGCCATGTTTTTGATAACTTTGTTTTCATTTTTAACATTTACATCATTTATCCATTTTGAATTTATCTTGGTTGAGTGAGGATTGAATTTTATTTTTTTCCTGATTATCAATTGTCCCAAAAATTGCTAGTTTCATTATTTTCCCAGTGATTTTTCTGTGTCATTATTTTTACATAATAAAATGCCATATGTATTAAAGTTAATTTTCTTTACTTTCTCCTGTTCTGTTGTTCTCTTTTTCTGTTCACAAATTGGTCGTGACAGTGTGTTCTAATCTGGTAAGGCTGTTCCCCTCCTCCCATTGTTCTTTTTCAGAACTTTTTTTGGATATTCTTAGTTATATTTTCTTGACATTCAAACTTAAGAAAAACCGTGTGTATTTATGAAAAATGAATTGTTACTGTGATTGCTTTTATTAATAAATACATTGAAACAGTTTATGTCCTTGTGATGTTGAGCTTTCCTCTCCAAAAACACAGTATGTCATCCCACTTACCTTCATCTTCTTTCATATTTGAAAAGATAGTTTTACATTCTTTCTTTTCTGATTTTGCTCATTTTTCTTACATTTATTACTCGGTATTTGATTATTTGTTACTATCATGAATTAGGTCTTCATCAGTATCTTATAATAGATTATTGTTTACATGTAATCAAGGCTATTAATTTATGTGTTAATACCAGTATCTTACTAAATAACTTTGATAGTTGTATTATATTTGTACTTAATTTTCATAAGCTTCCCAAGTATATAAAGCATCACCTGCAAATGATGATAGTTTCCCCTTTTCTTTCCAATTTTAATATCTCTAATTTTGCCCTCTTGTGAATGGTAACTATTCTCTCAGTGAAGTGTTATTTAACAGTTGATAGTGGGCATCCTTGCCTTGTTTCCAACTTTAGTCAAAATGCCTCTATTATTCTCCCATTGAGCCTGATACTGTCTTTGGGGCTGAAATAGATGTGTTTATCAGGTTATACAAATTTTCATTGATTACTACTTTGAGAATTAATTTCTATTTATCAAGAATGCATGTTGAATTTTGTCAAATAGCATTTTCGTATCAATGGAGTATTGATAATAAATAGAGAGGAATATTATTTTTCTCTTTAGATTAATATAATAATTGAATAGATTTAACAATATTGATCTGCTTTTGTGTTCTGGGAATAAACTCCCCTTGGTCATGATATATTTCTCTTGTAATGTGCTGATGGCTTCTGATTGATAAATTTTATTAACATTGAAGTGCATGAGTTAAAATGTTCTGTAGCATATGTTTTTCTGAAATTATTGATGGTTTTTGCTATACACAGTTCAAACAGAATTTGGATATACTTTTTTTATATGCCTTAGCACATTTTAGTAACACTGAAATTATGTATTTAAAAATTTATCCTGATCTATGGCAGAGGGTTCCTGGTGAGAGTTCCCTCATCTATTAAAATGTTCTGCTTCCTTCATCATTTTTTCTTCCCATACGTTTTCTTAGCTACTATACTAGTTCTTTCATTAATACTTGATATTCCATGAGTCAAGTTTAAAGATATTCATCTACTTTCAAAGGAGCCAGGTTGTTTTACAGTTCACCAAGTTTTGGTTGCCACAAAATAAGAAGGCTGCCTAAAAGCACTGCTGCTTAACATACTTCTTGTAACTCTGCCCGCCTCTGCTTGTTGAAGCTAACCTACATATGGTAGGGTGCATGCGGGTAGGGATTATGGTTCTGCTCCCACTCAGTTCCCCCAGGCATCTTTTATTACAAGCAAGGCTTTGACATCCTGGATAGGCCCCTCACCATGAGGAACTGTATTTGTGCTCTTCCTCTCTGGGGTCTGCTGCAGCTGCACTCTTTTTGTAGAGATCTCTTTTAAGCTTCTCTCATTTTCCTTCTGATGGCTCCTATAATGAATTAGTATCTTTTGGCAACCTTTTATATTTTATGGTGTCTTTCTTCTAGTTTCATTAACAATATTTTAAATATATTGTAGTATATAATATATGTAATAAAAAGATAATTTAATAATGATATTTTAAAGATAGAAGTTTAACAACCCATATGAATTGGCATTGATGGTCTATGACTCTGATAATGGTCAATCTTCTTGTAAAAATAAAAAGTATTAGGCCTATTAGTAGCCTGAAACTCCTATCATTGTGAAATCTAGTAGAGAATTGTTTTTCTGTTTATTGTGCTATTTATCACACCTAAGGAATACTTCAGCCAAATGGGTATGTATTTATTTGACAATAAGCAAATATGATTTATTTAAATATTAGATTATCTTTAACACAAATTTTAGGTAATCAGTAACTTTGTAATACAATTCTTTATTTGGCAGAAGTACTTACTATAGTACTTACAATAACACTTATAAAACATATAGCTCCTATCACACCTTAGGATTATCATATAATTTATCTGATTTGTTTTTGATATTTCAAGATTACATCATTACTGTGTAAAGGGAGCAGCAGTTGTATTTCATTCCATTGACAAGTATATTTAATGAATATAATCATGAAGTATAATTTTAAAATGCCACCCAACCAATGCAACAAGTTTTACCAGTTTTACATATTTAATAATCTTATTCTAAGTATGTTCATATATACATGTACATATATATATATATATATATATGTGCATATATATATATACACACACATATACGTGTGTGTGTGTGTGTGTGTGTGTGTGTTCATGGAATTTCACCAAGATTATGTAGAGGCTTTCCCTACATTCTCTAAAATTTAATCTCTTTAAGTAATGGAAATTAGTAACTGAAAAATTTTCTGATAGCAATTTTTAAATATTTATTTTCCTTTATGTTTATGCTATCATTCCCCAAGGTACAGTATAACTATTCTCTTAACAAATTGTACTTTGGTTGGGCTTCAAGTTTAGCTTTAGATTGCATTTTCTTCTTATGCCTAATGAGTAATGGAAATATCCATCTTTAAAACTTTCTGTATGTGAAGTACAAAGCCAAGTTATGGATAAAATGAAGTTAATATTTAGACTTTAAAATACACATTTAGCCAGGCGTGGTGGCTCAAGCCTGTAATCCCAGCACTTTGGGAGGCCAAGGCGTGTGGATCACGAGGTCAAGAGATCGAGACCATCCTGGTCAACATGGTGAAACCCCGTCTCTACTAAAAATACAAAACATTAGCTGGGCATGGTGGTGCGTGCCTGTAATCCCAGCTACTCAGGAGGCTGAGGCAGGAGAATTGCCTGAACCCAGGAGGCGGAGGTTGTGGTGAGCCGAGATCCTGCCATTGCACTCCAGCCTGGGTAACATGAGTGAAACTCAGTCTCAAAAAAAAAAAAAAAAAATACACATTTACCACTTACTCTCAGATATGGTATTGACATTTAGCCATATTATATACTAGAGGAAAACTAGATAAAATGTGTGGAAATCTTTTAGAAGTTATTAGCAAAAGAGCGGACTCTAGAATCATACTATCTGGACTTGAATCTTGTCTCTACCACTTAGTAGCTGCTGTGACTTTAAGCAAATCATTCAAGTTCTGCACCTTAATTTCCTCATCCATAAAATAGTCTCTTCCACAATTTGTTCAAAAGAAACCGTTGTGAGGATAAAATGAGTTAATATAATAGAATACTTATGACGATGCCTGGCAGCTATTATAATTTTAGTACAGCCCCTTCAGATAATTGCTGGAAGACCAGATTATGAATAACTGACTTATCTGAAGTGTAGCATGGTCTTCACAGATATTTAAAAGCTAACCATAAGATTAAAGACAATAAACGGATCTGATTAAAGACTTCTAGCACAAAGGATTTTGGAAGAATGAAGAAAAGATGTTCCAGATATTTAACACAGAACAAAATTATTTAGCTGAAAGCCATTAGATTTGTCAGTGCTTCAAAGTCTCCCAAAATTATCTTATTTACTTTCAATATTATTTTAATTAATTTTTCAAAAAGTAATCCAAAAAAACGTATGGGACAGCATTAATGTTTTGGCAAAGGCATAACAGCAAAGAATAACACTCAGAGGATAATATAAAAGCCTAAAGTGCATGCAAATTAAAATTTCAGAGCCAATCATAATATATTCTCAGTGTAATAAATCACAATGTTTACATAGATAAGAGGGGAATGTATAGCTAGCTCAAGGCATGCTGATATCAGATATGAAATGCATCTAGTATAGATGAGCAGAGAATTTCATTTACATTACAAGAAACTAAACACATTAGTCATAATTTTACTAAAATACTGTATATGGCTTAAGTTGCCACACTTCCAAAAGAACATAAAAGACCTAAGAAAGCTTGAAAAAGAGTAATGAAAAATTAAGAAATCTTTAGTAAAGAAATCCTAGGAATGAAGTTAAGGATTAGGGTAGTTAGCCTAAAAAGTAGTATATTCTTTTAGAATGTGGTGGGATTTTATGAAAATGGCACTAAGTAGTTATTTCTTTATAGAAAAGATGGCTAGCTTCAGATTTAAGACCACTAACTTACCAGAAAAAGCTTTTTGTTTTGATGAAGTTTTTCTATCCAGAAAATAAGGATATTATATGGTTTACCAGTGACCTCTCAGAGTTATTATACACATAACACACAATTTGCAATAAAAGTGCTAAGTAGTTTTGAAGTAAAAACACTAAGGGATGTTGTTATTGCTGTCATTGATAGTGTTATAGAATAACAGTAATTCTTAGGAAACCAACTTAATTAAAGACAGCATTTCAATTCAATGTAAAAACAAACTTCCTGATAATCACTGTGATAAAAGTGAAAATGAGATTCTGTGGGGAGGAATAAACGCCATCTTCATTCTCAGAGACCTTTCAAAACAAAAAGAAAACCATCATCCTAGGTTATTTTAAAGAGCGATCTGCATAAGAAAAGGGGTGAGGGTGCAAGTAGAATAAAATCCTGTGAGGTTTTTTTAGCCATTCTGAGATAGTGTAATCATGAATACGACCTGAAGTGACAACTACTAGGAAAAGATAAAAGCCTATAACAATCATTGATCCTATGAGGAGTGGAGCAGTATATTTAACCATGTATACGACCCGTGTTAGATTAGGTTCTTCAGAGAAGCAGACCAATGGGAGATTTCAAAGAGAGAAAGAAAGAGAGAGAGATTGATTGATTCATTTACTATGAGGAATTGGCTCACATAATTATGAAAAATGCAGTCAGCAAGCTAGAGACCCAGAAGAGTTGCTAGTATAGTTCCAGTCCAAATCTGAAGATCTGAGAACCAGGAGAGCCTATGGTGTAACTTCCAATTCCAGTCCAAGTTTGAGCCTGAAGGCAAGAGAAGACCAACATCCCAGCTCAGAAACAGACAGGCGAGAGAAAGAATACTTTCTTGTTCAGACTTCTATTCTATTCAGGTCTCAACAGATTGGATGTGGTTCACACACACTGGAAGAGGATAATTTGCTTTACTCAATCTACCAATTCAAATGTTAATTTCATCCAAAAACGCCCTCACAGATACACCTAGAAATAATGTTAACCAACTATCTGGGCACCATGCAGCCTAGGAAAGTTGATACATAAAATTAGCACTCACTAAATCTGTTTTTTTCATTTTCAAAATTTATTAATACTCGATAGTTATTAAATCCCCCTAGTAGGATTTCATAATATTGGATAAAGTGTGTAAAGTTGAACTTATGACATGGAAATGAGTGCTACTTGTTAATGTTACTATTTAATTGCTACAGTATTCAATGACTTGCTTTATACCTCAGAAACATTTTTCAAATTGATGCATGTAAAAATTTTGTATGTTAAAGCATGTGTTTCCATTCATGTCTGTAATAATCAGTGTAACAGTTCTTCCAAAATGAAAATAACATGAAATTTTAAAAAATCTATATTCAACATCTAATAGATATCCAATGTCAGATTTCTGACATTAATTATAAATAACATCTACCTCTAGCAAAATAAGTCTTTGTATATTTTATGCACTTATTGAAGATTATATTTTGTCAGATTTCAAAGGATTTGAGAGAGTCCTTAGTAAGCTAAGAGTCAAGGAAACATTTAAGGATAAAAGAGAACTGCATTCCGAAAGCATTAATTCTCTTACTCCATTCAGAGAATATTTATTTAATGTCTACCAATCACTGTAGTGGGATCTCAGGGATATGAAGGTGAATAAAGCACAGTTCTTCCCTTGGAGAAATTAAAAACTCTCTTACTGATCCATATTCAAGTTAATTTAAAGTGCTCCAATAAATATATGTGTAAGGGCTAATGTATGTGAGAAAGGCACCAATAATTGTGTATATAAAGTGCTATGGGACCTTTGAGACAGGTATTTTAGGCACTCAAGACACACGTTCTTAAAATAGAGCTTAAGTATTAGAAACAGAAACATATAGTTTCAGTGCATGGAGTTTCAGTCGTGCAGTTTTGGTGCATTTTTAATTACATTCCTGCTGACTCCCTAGATACCAAATGGCTCAAGCAAACCAGGTTACTCACTGTTTCTCAGTCTTACTCCTTACCTCCCTCCCTCTTCATGAACTGTCTCCTGGGGTCAGACAAAATAGGATTCAGATTACATGGATCTTGCTGAGCTTCAGTTTCCTTATTTTTAAAATGTGGGTGATAATTTATCTCTGAATTTTTTGATGACAAGAAATAATAAGATTAACATACTTGGCATTTTTAAGCATTCAGTAATTGGTAGTTATTATTCAGATGCTATCATGCCAAACTTTCTGAACTGGACTACCCTATCACCAATATCACCTAATAAAATTATTTCTTCAAAAATTGTTTTGAAGTTCTATATTTCGTGTCAAACTTATTTCTCACTCATTCTTCTAATGAGTGATTGCTCCTCTGCTACATAGGAAGGTTTTAAATTATATATATATTAGGATTGCCAGTAAATATATTTTAAGTTGAGTTAACATCGAGTCTAGAAAGAGAAGAAAAAAAATGAAAAGAAAGGATATGTCAAGACAATATTGTGTTCTACCAAAAGTTGCACAACCAGTTAGAGACAGAAGTGTGAGGGTGGAGCTGCTCTTCCTGATGCTCCGTATACATGCTGTTGTCTCAGGAAAGACAGCTGCTTATCTTTACAAACAAAATTTTTCCTCAAACCTTCACTTACCCAGTCCTTGTAAGGAATTAGCCAAATGGGAAATCAGTCCAATTAATTACAGAAAACACTTAATATAATATTTACTAGTGATTACTAAGTGGTTTGTGTGTGTACTCGTTCAATCTTCAAAGAATTTCATGAGTCAGGTGGACATTAATACTATATTCTTGTTTATAAATGAAGAAACTGAGTCACAGAGAGGTTATGGTACTTTTCCAAGGTCTTGCTGATAATGAGTGGTAGAGCCAGGATTCCAACCCAGCCTGACGGTTTTAATCACCCAGTATATTCCCTCTTATTTTTCATATCTTCTGATGTGCTCATTTAAAGTGTATAAATACTAAAATATTCCATACCAATTAAGTTTATCTCATTAGGTATTGTTCTTCCTCAACAACTTTGGCAGGAGTATATCTTTATATAATCAATCCATGCTACTTGTCCAAGTAATTCTCAGAACTTTATAAGTGCAAAGAAGCCCTCCTCTTCATGACAAATACTAAAAAGAGAGCAGAAATCATATTCTACTCCTGTTATCTTACTTTCATTTGCATCTGATTTAGGTTTGTGGTAGTCATTAGACATCTTTATCAAAAATGTCCAATCTTCTTTCTGATCCTATGATATCATTGTACCTCCTGCATCCTGATGTTGATATGGACACCAGGGTTGGCTTGGGCAACAAAACATGACTAGCAGTCATGTGCGTTGCCTGTGGGAGAACGCATGAAAAGCCAGTGCAAGATTTTCCACATCCCCTTTCCACTACAGAGGTGGTTGTAGAAGCATAGATTGAACAAAGCCTGAGTCCCAGAGTAACCACAAAGAGCACAGGCCTGGTGGCACGTCACAATGACACATTGAGTGAACATGGAATAAATGCTTCTTGAGTAAAGCCCCTGAGATGTTTGTGGTTACTACTAAAACCTAGCTGTTTCTATATCTTTCAAGGATCAGTTATCATTAGAGATCTTTATATGGTTCATATGTAGCTAAAATAGCTTAATTTTAGAATAGTTCTCAAATCCCATGGCATTGTTTGACTCATATTTTATGCTTTGTGAGTTTTCACAACATATGTTTTCTATAAATGTAAAGCATGAAAATATTTCCTAGGTGTTAAAACAGTTTTTAGAATTCTAATTAGCATTGAAATTGCCTATACTTTCACTTGCAGGGATGCTCCCTTAGAAATCTGAAATTATTCATAATTACACATATGGTAGTGTCATTAATGTTTTGTTTTTGTTATTGTTGCTTTGAGTTGTTGTGAATGTTTTCTTCACTCTTCTCCTTTATTTGTAGACCACTGGACCTAGGGTGACTCAACAAAGTATTTTTGAAAATATTTTAATACAACTCTTGATGGAGTTTTCAACTACAACATTTCCTTCTCACTGTTACACTAACTGTTTACTATAGAGGTCAGAGACAATATGTGTATGTGTTCATCACATTCTCTAAATAACTATATTTTCATAAGTCTTTTGGAAACTTTTCCAAGACTATTAGTCTTTGAATCATTCTAGCTTGGATTATTCTTGAATTTCATTTTTATAATAATCAAGACCTTAATTATTCAAACTCACAGAAGGAAACAGCATAGTACATAAATTCAAAACCATAACTGATCCAAGATATTAATATTTGGCTCTGAAAATCATGTAACATTTTATTAAGGAAGCATCTTACATTTCAGACTTACAGAAAGTTACAAAAATATACTAGGAAACTAACATATGCCCTCACCTAGCTTACTAAAAGGTTAACGTCTTACATCAGATCACTACAATTTTCAAAACCAAGAAAGTAACTGGCTACCTGCCTGAAGTTCCAGCTGTTCTGGAGGATGAGGCAGAAGGACTGCTTGAGCCAGCCTGGGCCAACATAGCAAGAACCCCCTGTTACTTAAAAAACTTTCCTTAAATTTAAGAACCAGAAAAGTAAATTGATACACTATTATTAATTAATCTAAAGAACTTATTTCAATTTTGTCAGTTCCTACTAATACACTTTTTGGGGGCCAGCATTCAAACTGGACATTTAGCTGTTGTGTCTCCTGAGCATCCTTTCATCTGGGACGGTTTTTTTCTTTTTCTCTTTCATCACTGACACTTTTGAAAATGGTTACACTGTATAGAGAACCTCTCCATTTAGGGCTGTCTGACATTTTCCTCATGATTAAATCCAGGTTATGTATTTTTGATAAGAATGCCAGAGAAGTGACGTTTCTAAGTGCATTATATCAAGAGATGTGATGTTATATCTCATTACTGTTGATGTGAACTTTGATCATGTAAACAACATACTGTCTGCTAGATTTCTGCACTACAGAGTTGCTCTTATTCTAATAAATATATTTTTAAATGGTTTCACATTCTTTCTCTCCCACCTTTCTTTTTTTCCCCTCCTTCCCAAATATCATACGAAGTGGTGATAGTGGAAAATTAGAGAGACACTAATTAAGCTGACGGATTCCCAGTATTAATTCTCCAAACCATTTTGTATTTTTCAGAATAATGATTTACTCTGAACAAAAGACTCCATTTTATAGGAAAGGTCTAGATTAATATTTTCTTCTAAAAGTTGTCCTGGGGAATTTTGCCAAAGGGCACATTTAATATCTTCTTAAAATTTTGGTCCTAAATATACCCCATTCCCAGAAGCAGCCATATGGTAAAGAGTGAAAGAAAATATAATTGTACTTTGCTCCATTCTGGACCCTAAAGCCTTCAGAATAAAATTGGAATTATATATATTTCTAGTTATTTCATTAACAAAAAGAATTGCATGAAGACAATCGCATGCTGTGTAACATAGCATAAATTCCCTGTACCTGCTTAAATACCCTTTTCCTTTGGTTTTCCTTTTCTACTAAAGCACTACATACTTGGTCTCAACCCAATCTTCAATTCTTGAATAATTTAAAGAAAGTACCTTGAAAGCGGAATCACTTAGAATCCAATATACATTTGGCAGTGCAAGATGAAAGATTCAGATTTTATACTTGGATAACTTGAGTATGACTGAGCTCGATCCAAGGTTCACAGAGGCCAGAGCAGTGATCTAACACCTCTCAGAAAATGAGCAATTAATGGCACTTAGGCTGACTGCAACTAGAATACAGTCTGATAAGAGGAAAAGTCACGTGCTTTGCAGCCATGAAGCATGATGTCGAAGAATGCCTACAGGGACCAAAATGGGCTGGAGCACTCTCTTGTACACAGCATCATGGGCAAGGAGTGAGAGATGGATGGAGGAGTTGACAATTGTATTAGAGAGTCATCATGTGAGAACCTGAGCTTAGAGCTCACTCTGTCTAATTAATAAGGAAATAAAACAGTGAGTGGATTTTGAGCACAATGACTAAAAGTTGTCTGCCTTCTTCCCCTAAATAATTCCATTTAAGTAACTATGTCTTAATATATTATTTTGAGGTAAAAAATTATTAAAATGGGAACGTTTTGACTTAAATATTTAAAACTAATAATGAATTATATTTACTTCATGCTTAATGTTTTATATAGCATTCTCATACTTAATATATTGCTTAATCCAGCTCCAGTGTGAGTTAAAACTCTCCCCCTATTTTAAAGATAAGGAAGCTGAATTGTGGACAGACTGTAAGTGGCTCTATAGATACATAGCCAGAATAAAATGGTGGCAGAATAAACTAAAATTATCTTGAGTTTTCCACATACATTTTACCAGTGAAAACAATTTTTTCTAACTCAATGGGGATTGGAAACACTAAGTTTGTAGGCAAGTAAAATTTGATATTTTACATTCTGGATTATTTTGGAAACTTAAATACTGATGCAAAACTCCTTAGCCCACTTTAAAAAAAAAGAAAATTTACAAATTCACATGAGAAATCTATAGATTTTTATGGATACCAAAATTTGGTTAACTTCATTGTCAGGAAATTAAATTATACAATTAAAAATCAAATGTTATTAAATCATCAAGCATTGATGCTTTTAATAAAATTGTGATTGGCAGAAAATATTTGAAATATGTAAGAACAGTACAGATGTCTATAACTTGCCCTCCCTTAAAGATTCCTTTAGAAAGTGGTTAGGTCATGCGGGCTCTACTATCATAAATGGGATTCATTCCCATGTAATAAAGACCTGAAGAATCCTGTCTGTCCTCTTCATCATGTGAGGGTACATAGAAGTTGCCATCTTTGAAGAGGAAAGCAAGCACTCACCAGACACTGAATGTGCTGGTGTCTTGGTCTTGGACTTCCCAGACTTAAGAACTGTGAGCAATACATTTCTGTTGTTTTTAAATTACCCAGTCTTAAATACTCTGTTATAGTAGCCCAAACTGACTAATATGCTTGGCTTTCAAAATTGGTTCAGAATAAAGACTGATAATAGAAAATGGGGTGAGTGACCAGGATTTGATGTTTGCACTGGGAAGGAAAATTGTATGACTAGAAGAAATGTAGTACAAAGAGCATTTTCTTTGAGTATGAGCAAATCAGAATATTAACAGAATAAGAAGCAACTGAGCACTCCCTCATTTTGCAGATAGGGAAGCTGAGGCACAGGTAATTAAAATGAGTATTTGCTGAGGTTACACAACCTGTGAACTGGACTGGAACTTCATCCTCTGACTTCAAGTTCGATGTGATTTGCATGCCACCACTTTGCATCTTTGCCAGTGTGTTAGCTATGTAATGTATAGAAAGTCTTCTGAACATAGCATGTGACTCTACTAATTACATATGATACTAATTTGCTGCTTACTAAATATGACATATGTGATACTGTTTAAGTCCTACAAATGACAAAGTTATACACACATGCGCGCACGCACACACACACACACACAGAGTACATGCATGTGTGTTGTCTAAGCTGCCATCCAGTCTATGGCATTCTGCTATACAAAATAGGGCTAATACAAACAAGAGGTTTGAATAAAACACTCATCAATGTATTACACATTTAATTATACTCTAGGCACTAGAGTGAGAAAGCTGAGCAAGGTAAGGCCCTTTCATTTGGTAAGCTCATCTTCTAATAGAACAGACACATAAACAAAACCCACTAATATAATGTAATAATAAAGGCAAGTTAGAGTTATCCAGACTATTAAAGAGCAGAGCTAGGAGACATTAGGAAGGTGACAGTAGTGGCAGTGGAAGATGGAGCCAACAATATGTTTAAAAAAAGTGTCTGAAGCTTTGAACTCCTGAGTTTGGAATCTAAAAATATGTTGTGTGCTTGTGACAAAACAGAATGGTGATGGGATGGACAGAAGAACACCAGAAACACAAGTAGAAACTATATAATTTATTTAATAAAAATAATGTGAAAACTTAAACACAAAATGTACACAAATAGGAGACTATGAGATGGTAACCAGTTCCCCACATCCTCATAAGGACAAAACAGGCTGGTGAAAGCATCTAAACATTTACACAGACTAAGGATTCTACAAGTTAAAGAAGTTTATCTTTTCCATATTTGTTATGGAATTTCAATGACTTTTTACCCAGTCCTCTATCTAATTGTAATTTACCACTGGGAAGACTGGCTAAATTCCTGCATATATCCTACAGTAAAGCAACCCCAGTACATCTCTGAGTTTTTATTCGTGAGATTGGATGAATCAAAGGTAAATTTCTTAGGCACAACATCCCTTAGCAAACTCAGGCTTCAGGCCTGCCTAAAGTCTGTCTCACATACGTAGCCACCAATTCTCACATGTATTCAAATTTCTTTTGAATGATAATTAATCAATGCAAAGCCATCCTATTTTAATTTAATGGGAGCCAGGTGACTTTAGGTTGTGAATTAAGATGAATGAGAACTTAAAACCTTAGGTGGGATAAGGTTAACGTCTGAGAGCACATGGGTAGGCTACAAAAATCTTACTGGAAAAACAAAAACAGGATTAAGAATGCGTGTAGTTGGTAGGGCACAGGTTAGTCCAGAAGTGGGTGTCAAATGTAATCTGTACAAGTATTAGAAGTGGATCAAGACATATAATCTCAATTTAATGTTGATAGGCTAACTTTGGAAATGGAGCCAGGTGACTTTACCAGATGGCTTCCCCCATAACATAACTTACTTAAGAAGAGTTTCATCTCTAGATTTACACCTGGTGGTTTGCCTTCACCTATAGTAAAGGCATGATCTGCCAAAGCTGGCAAGGGCAAATGATCAGATTGGCAGTAAATTGCCGAATGGCTGCCTAGGCATGGGGGAAGAAAAGGAGACCTCCTTTGAGAGTGCTGAGAAAGGAAGGCAGAAGTCATTGGCTCGGGGTCTAGATTGTTTGATGATTATGATATAAACCACCATCAGTGATAAAATTGATGGAGAAGAAAGGATAGTTGAGGGATTAGACATTTAAATGAGGTTAAAATTCAGCCAAGACAGAGGAATAGAGTTGAAAGAAGATAGGAAGATGCAGTTTGAAAATAAAATTTCAGAGATGAAGATGAGGGACAGGCCGAGAGGGGCAGAAGGAACATGACTAAACAAATTATTATCAGATTTTAGTATAATGTGGTTATTGACTGAATGCTTCATCCTCATCCTGCCACCTCCAAACTAACTGCATCCACAGAGTTATTGCTTTAAATGACAAAACCAGCAGAGGGTCCAAAGCCATGACACCACTACCTACCACTTTCCTAGGGTTCTATCTACATGATTTTGTAATTACACATCCTTAGGAAAGCTTTCACAACAGCTCCATATACTCTTTGGCCCTAGGCTATAATGACTGCATTAGTGAAAAAGCAAAATGTCTGACTATGAGTTTAGAGACCATTGGCATATAATCAAAAAGCATCATAGGTACTATTTGGATTGATAAGACAAATCTAATTATTTTCCTGGTTCAGCTCATAAAAAAAACAAAACAAGCAAAACAGCAAACAAAAGCAATATTCTTTGGCATTAACTATGAATTAGCATGAATGACTTTATGCATTTTTCTCATATAGGGAATTTTTGTTTTGATGTCCTTCAATGCATCAAACTATATTGCATTCTGTCTGTGGTTACTCTGCAAATCTAACAAACATGAAGCCTTTCCCCTACGGCTTCCAAGATACCTTCCTTAATTGCCACCATGTTTATGTTAAAACTTACTGCTATAGTATTCTTCACAGAAAAAGCATTGTCATTTGCAAACTTTCTTGACATGTGAAAGATGCAATACATTTTTCCATATAAATATTTTTCTTAGAAGTTATAAGGAGGTGCTGAAGCAGTCTACCTGTGGTAAAGCAAGGGACATCTACATCCAAATATCTCATGTTTGAATTTTGACTGACTTCCTACAAACTGCTGTTATACCTCTATCAGCTTTTGCAAAGTAGACCACAGAAAGCAATATATTTTGAAACATTCAACATCATCAAAATATAAGCTCTTTATGCAAGAAAATTTAGGCAAGTTCTTTATCTTTGCCCTCACTTTCTCATATCTAAGATTGAGATGATGATGGTATTTAACTCATACCAAAACACTCGTTTTGTGAGGATAATGAGTTGAATCACACAAAGTGCTTTAACGGTGCTTGGCACGTAGTAGGTATTCAATAAAATTAACTAAAAATGCTGTCTCTAATTATAGCTTCCATATATTAAAGGTACCATGCTGGGAGTGTTCATATATTAGGCTATTAATCTTTATTATAACCATTAGTTAAACAGTATTATCCACGTTTTGTATATGAGAAAATGAAGGCTTAGACTAGTCATCTAACTCACCAAACCCCACACAGTTGGTGAGGGACTGAGTTGGGATTTGAATCCTGTTATGTAAGACTCCAAAGCCAATCCTCTTAATCACTATGCAATACTTGCCTTCCTTAGAATGTGAACCTGTAAGAATCTTTCTCATTTGCATCTTGAAAGAAAACAAATCTAGAGTTGATTATAGTAGCTTTTAAAACTGTAGTGGATTACAAGTTAAAGTATGAATAACTTGCAAGACATACTACTAGCAGACAAGCCTGTGCACACTGTCTCACATAAGCTTTATTTTCCTGGGTTGATAAGTTATTTTTGATTTTATTTTGTTTGTTTTTTACTTTTGATTTAATTGTCTAAGGGTTAAAAAGAGATAAAAGGTGAAAATGTTTTCTGCTGCATTCCACAGGATTATCATTTTTTGACACTCTGACTTTAAAAATGAGCCCAAGAAATGGCTTAATTGACCTATGGACAAGTGACCTTATAAGACTGTATCTAGGCCGGGCGCGGTGGCTCAAGCCTGTAATCCCAGCACTTTGGAAGGCCGAGGCGGGTGGATCACGAGGTCAACAGATCGAGACCATCCTGGTCAACATGGTGAAACCCCGTCTCTACTAAAAATACAAAAAATTAGCTGGGCATGGTGGTGCGTGCCTGTAATCCCAGCTCCTCAGGAGGCTGAGGCAGGAGAATTGCCTGAACCCAGGAGGCGGAGGTTGCGGTGAGCCGAGATCGCGCCATTGCACTCCAGCCTGGGTAACAAAGAGTGAAACTCCGTCTCCAAAAAAAAAAAAAAAAAAAGACTGTATCTAATTCATACAAGCCTCATGCCATAAGGCCCTGTTAGCCTCTTCAAGCATTCCACATGTACCTTACACAAACCAATTCCATGTAAATCTGGGGGCAGTGGGGGTGGGGAAGAACCAGCAAGTAGGACTTCTCAAAGATGAACAGAAACTATGCACTTGTCTATGTGTATGTTTGTGTGTATACACATATGTGTGTATTTGCACACACATACATGCCTGTCTGCTTGGGTCATCTCTTTCTCATAGCAGACCTAGTCTTTATGGGATATACAGAGAGAAAGTTTCCATAAAATACCACCACCTATGAACATGTAAAATTCTGTCTGAAGCCTGGGAGCAAATGAACCACTGCCTTTTTGGTTCATGTACATGTGTAGGACATAAGAAATGCTTTCAACCCATGTTATGGAAACCCTTCAACTAGCAAAAATAGGAGGCTCAGGGATGTTTAGAGGCTTGTTGAAAATTATATGGCTAGTTGGTTGTCATGCAAAAAATTGAACTCAGTTTTTATTGTCTAATCATGTGCTTTTCTTACTGAATGATGTTGCCATTTTAATTCAACGGGAAAAACAGAGCAACGACTTTTAAAACTACAAATCAACAGGAAAGTTTTTGAAATCATGTGTTGATTACCAATGTATTTCTCAATAAAATAAAATATTATTATAATTGAAAAATAAGGGCTACAAAATAATGTAGCTATTTCTAAGTAAATCCTCCCAACCAAAATCACAAAATGATGGCATAGAAAGTATGGGCACAATAATACCTTTTTGTTCAGACAAGAATATCTTGGATTACATAATTTAAAATTCAAATTTTTTTTTACCATTATCTTATCAGTCTTTTAATATAGCTTGTATTTAACAACATAAGTGTGATGAGTGCAGCAGTTCATAGAAACTGTAGTAGAAAAGCACATAGAAGCATTGTTCAGGATTTTTCTTTTTACATATGTCTTTGGTGTATGACTAATTCTGCACATTACTTCTCCCCACCTGGCTTCATTTAAATTGCAAATAAATAAAGAACAAGATGATACATTTCCCAAAGTTCATAACATGTGCTACACGATCCATTAAATATAAAAAGATAATGGAAGTAAATACATCTTACTTAAGCTTCAAGCATGTTTTTATTTTGCGTCAAAATATCGTGTTATGATTCCTCACATACTAGGAGATCAAAAGAAAGTACTTCAGAAGCACTATCACCTCAATGATGAACCAAATGTCCCTGTCACCCAGAACTCAGGGGTTTCCTAGGATTCAGGACCTTCAGAGCTAAAATTTATACAGTCTCAGGTTGATCACTCTATAGTCAGCCCAAATGTATAGATTCACAGGCCCCTCA